ATCCAAGAGTAAATCTCAGTCATCATGTTCCTTGATCAAACAGTAGCTTTTGAGATAGACAGTCATTCCTCCTCTTAGAAACATTTTCTTCATTTGGATTCCAGGACCCTACACTCTTGGTTTCTCTCCTACCGGGCTGGTAACTTACTCTGTCTCCTCATCCTATCCGTACTCATTTGCTTGGTGATCTCATTAACTATCGTAGCATTAAACACTGTCTCCCTACCAATGACTCTCAACTAATATCTCTAGTCTAGCTCTCTCTTCTAAACTCCAAATTCAAATATAGAAAGTCATGCACAGGGCAAACTTACCACGTCCAAAACTAATCTTAATGCTTCCTTGTTAAAAACAACCACAAAAACTTGCCCCTCTCAAAGACTTCCCTCCCTGTAAATGACAAAGGCCATCCTTCCAGTTAGTCAAGACTAAAACTTTGCAATCATTCCTGATTTTTCTTTCTAACACCACCTTCAATTCCAGGAATCTTGCTGGCTGTAGCCCTAAAATATATCTAGAATCTACTCTTGCCACCTCCACTGCTACTACTCTGTTCCATTATTTCTGCCCTGAATTATTAAAAGGGCCCCTAACTGGTCTCCCTGCTTTTGCCCTTAATCCTTAAATCTATTTCCAACAGCAGCCAGAGCAATCTTTTCAAAGTGGAAGTCAGATCTTGTCATTCCTCTGCTCAAAGCTCTGTAATGGCTTCTCCATTCACTTAAGAGTAAAATCAAAATCTTTAAAATGTTCTATAAACCCTGCACTCTGTGCGGCCCTCCCAACCCCTACATGTCTTCTCTGACCTAATCTTCCACTTTTCTCCTGGTTCACTGCTCTAGACACACTAACCTACTAGCCATTCTTTGACTTTACCAGGCATGTACCTGTGCCTTTGCACTGACTGTTCCCTGGGTCTGGAGTTCTCCTTCCTTCAAATATCTTTATCATTCCTTCACCTCCTTCAGGTCTTGGCTCAAATATCACTGTCTCTGTGAGGTCCTAATTGATTTCCACCTTGAAAAGTGCTCCTCACTTCAGTATTCACTTTGCCCCACTCTGCTATTTCTCCACAGCATTTGTCACCTTCTAATACATTATTTATTTGTGAAATTCATTTGTTTCTCTTAGTCACCAAAAATGTACCCATAAAAGCAGGGATTTTTGTCTGACACACTGCTGGAAGGTCAATATTACAGATGTGTAGTTAATGCTTTTGATCCAGACTTCCACTGTGCTTCTCATTAAACGAAGCTATTTAAATATGTAGAGAAGCATAGTTCATGTTGAGGACATAGCACTGGCAAAGCTCTGACATGCAAGAAAGCGAACTAGTGCACTGGTCCTCAGGTGGTACTGATGTTTCCGGTGAGGGGATGCAGGATTTACTTACCATAGGAAGGCATCGATAGAACAAGGCAGCATTTTAACTGAAAGTACAAACTCAGCTTGCTCCACAATAAGAAATGAAAGGAAGGAATGGCAAAGGAGTTCCACACTAGGAAATGACTGGGGTGCTGGGAAACTCAGGGAAACTTTGACCACAAATAACCAGCCTGACAAAGTGCTAAATTCCTCCTTCTTGGTATTTAAATTTTATAGAGGAAGAGGCTGTCTTTGAAAAGGTAATGAAAGCTATGGCTCCTTCCAAGAAAAATGTTTGTACCTACAAAACTTCACTTACAATTTCAGAGTCCACCACCCCCTGAAGCCCACCCGCAGACCACTATGGATGAGTGGTTATGAATCCCAGTTAAAAAAGAAAAAAGATCCCAGTTAAGAAATATTATTCCAGCAACACAACAGTGACTTGGATGGAAACGATGCTGAGTTACAGACGTATTTAGTTGTAACATTGGGTTCTAACATTTTGAGTCAATCTTTAAACTTGAAATTATTCCATTAAAAAGAAAGAGCATTCAGCACTATTTCTTAAAATGTAAATGCTCAGTAAATATGTAGAATTAAACACTCCAAGCTTATCACGTTCAAACTGACAGCTTTTTATTTTAAGCTTGATAGAAATAATTTTATAAAGTTCACAATATAACCAGAAGGAAGACTATTTAGGTACTAGTAATTTGATTTTTTTTTTAATTGCAACCAGGGAACATTCCATCCAAACAATCCAAGCTATTGTCTGTCTGGCTTCTGTACAATTTTATCGTTAGGCATCTTTCATCTAAATAATTCAGTAAAATATTATTAATGAGTCTTTGCTTTTCTACCAAATACTCATTCTCTCTATACCATAGAATTTAGAAATAATTAAGGGGAATTCAGCTTGGGTAGTTCTTCTTGCTCAGATATATCTGTAGAGAGAGGATGGTAAGGGAAGGGAGAGGGTCTTGCTTACATCTAATCATTAACACTCTTTATTCACTGGGTTAGAGACCATTCATTGCACTGTAATAATTTGAAAGCACAGAACTCCTCCTTGCGAATGCTATTCCATATCTGATATCTGATGCCAACCCTTATAGTGATAAAGGCCACGGAGACAAATCCAGAGGCACTGAGTTTAACTAGTGTCAGTCCTGAGAGGTCTCTTTGGTTGGTTTCTTCTCCTGTTGCCACTCATCCGAGGGTGAGTTTAGTAACAGCCATCAGCCAAACACATCCAAGCTGGATCCAAGCCAAGAGCAAGCAGCTTTGTTAAATCTGGGCAGCAGGGTGGAAAGGTGATCAGGAAGCAGCTGGAGGAAAGCATGCGGGGCCTGTTGGACAGCAGCTGGAGGAAGTTTGGACCCGCTGGCAGGGGGACATACGAGTGGTTAGCCAGCGAACCCAGCCTGCTGCTTCTGGAGACCCAGCTGCAGGTCTGTACTTATGACTTCTGCCTTTTTCCCTCTAAAATATCTTTGTTAGTTTGAAAATCAACCATGCTTATATTTTCAGGTCTCATGAGAACATTTTGCATTTACATTTTGCAAAATACAAATTCACTTACAAGCATGGTCTAAGGAATTAACTTGAAAATTTGTTGTTTTTTTACAGTAAGTGCAAGTAAAACTTGTCACAAATATATTCTAAGGTTCAAAGAATGCCTGAAGGTGGGAGTCAACAAATTTTGTATGTCTTTTTTTTGTCCTTTGCAGTTAGCAATATCTATATTCCCTTTGGTTCTCAGAATTGTATAATGACCACTGTTTCTAAGAGTTAAAAGAAACCAAGTATCTTACTTCAGTGAGGATAGCAGGAGGGTGAGGGAGGATTTATTTCTAAGAAATGCAGCAGCTGCTTTGCCTTGTTTGGTAAATCACCAAAGGAATCTCAATCTAGGCAGTATTAAGAAAAAATATTTGTAGGAACCTAAAAAAAACAGAATTGATACTATAATCAAAAGAGAAATGAGTAATATCACCGGCCACACAAGGAAGAGAACAAACCTATTTTCTTGTTTTCAGGAAAGTAACCCGGTGAGATTGGTATTTAAGTTCTCCAAAGCCACCTTTTACAGAAAAGCACACACACACACACGTGTATTTAATGCTATATCTATCTTTCAGCAGTTATACCATTACTTGCAACTTCCTTAAAATAGTCCCTGAACAACAAACCCCTTGAGTCAATAAAAGCCACATCAGAAGAAAAAGTTACTGAACAACTTTGAGGGAAGTGAACAAATTAGAATATTTGACTATAAAACTAAAGACATCCTTTCTACATCAAAAAAATCCACTTTTTAACTGATATATCATGAAACATTAAATAAGCAAATTAAGGATACTATAATAAATTTGTCCTATAACTCTGTACATCTAACTGGAAAACAGGGAAAGTTCTTTAGCTCAAGAAATCATCATAATCTGCTGTATTAGATAAAAGCTTTCTAGCGTTACTCGATGTTTGGACAAAGGAAATACTGATTACAGGAGGGGGTTATGCCATATTTTGTCTCCTACATTTTTGCAACTAATATTGACAGTACCAGAAGTGGTATAAGTGTAAATGATAGAACCTATTATGCACAATCTTTTAAATAGAACATGAACAACCATGTATACTCCATGCAGGTTGAACCAACAGAATTTTAATCTAATGCTCACAAGTATCAGAAACTATTATTTTCCTATTATAGCTAGAGAATGAAGAAGAAAAATAAGTTACACAAAATGGTCCATGTTTATGAAGGTCGAAGAGTGATTGTTTTAGGTACTGAAATAAGAATAATAGCTTCAACATTTTTTAATGACCCATCTGCAGGAGGAAAACAAGTCACAGTTACATTTCCTTTTGATTCCAACTCTTAATAAGTGTAGTAATTTCACTTATGAGTTCATCTACTCTTACAGCTTTTGTAATTAAAGTATTTTATAACATCACAAAAGATATTTATGTTAACAATTCTGTTAAGCTAGGTTATATATGAGAAAACAGTAAGTACCCATAGCCTAGAAATATAAAGTAAAAATCACATGCATAAAGTGTGTTAATATTACAAAATACATATTAATTAAAATTTAGTAATGCCAGATTTATCATCAGTATATTTTCCAGGCTTACACTTGATTAATAACTTTCTAGGTTTCTTCTGGTTATTTTAGTAATTTATTTTCTAGGAAATTTGACCATTTTTGATACCCTGAGATATGAATATATAAATACCTATTATTCACCAAGTACTTTACACATATTAATCCATTTAATTTCCATGCTAACCTTCCAAAGTAGATGATATTATTTCCATTTGATAGAAGAGAAAACCTAGGCTCGGAGTGGGTAAGCTCACACAGCTATTAGAAGGTCATACTAGAATTCAAAGCCACAGCTGTCAAACCCCAAAGACAACAGTCTGCTTCCCAAAAACACTTTAATTTTTATGCACTTTAATCTAAAATATCTTAACTCATATTTTACCAGGGACAAAATATCTGGCAGTGTAAATATTAAATAAACCCTGTAATTTTGAGTCAAAATAACATACATAGGTGTAAACCCTTTACAGAGTATAGAAGAGTATACAAGAAATGTTACATAAGCCTGTCTCTTAAGAGGTCATGACCAGCAAAACATTTGTCCTTTCCACCAAAATCGAGGTGAGTACTTCAGCTCTCATTGTTTAATTGTTGTTGTTGCTGTTGTTAGGTGCCGTCAAGTCGGTTTGGACTCATAGCAGCCCTATAGGATAGAGTAGAACTGCCCCAAAGGGTTTCCAAGGAGCTGTTGGTGGATTTAAACTGCCGACCTTTATGGTTAATTCTATGTTTTATTTTAAATAAGAGCTTTTTTTTTTTTGTTTGTAGTAGACAGTTATAAGGCTTTAATTTTTTTCTTTTTCTCCATAGCAGTGGACACTAACATTTATATTTGTTATTGTATGCTTTATATAATGGAGAAAATTTTTAATCCTTCATTTTTTCTTAGTAGCCTTATTAAGAGCAACGTCTACACAATTTGAAATAGTATTTATTTTTTTCAGATTGCTTTTCTCTCTTGCTGTTGAAGAATCATTTCATGTCTAGTATATTATTTACTCCATCAGGAACCATTATTATTTTTGTAAGGTTATACTTTTAAATTGCCTAAGAATGTATGTGCAGTTCTTTTTCTTTAAGAAGTTTAAAATGTTCTATATTTACCCTACAAACATTGCAAAGAAATTTAAGGAATTTTGAACTTATTTATCATGTCAGTCATCAAATCAGAATGCAAATATTATTTACATGTGATATGAACACATAACAATGTAAGATTTTGTTTCAGAAGTAAAGAACTTAAGTCCCATATGATCTTTTCATGGCAATAAAACATTATTGGTCTAAACACCACACGGGACTTGTTTTCTTGGTTTAGAAGTTTTGTTGTTGTTGTTATTAGGTGCTGTTGAGTCAGTTCTGACTCATAGCAACCCTATGCACAACAGAACGAAACACTGCCTGGTCCTGCACCATCCTCACAATCATTGCTATGTTTGAGCCCATTGTTGCAGCCACTGTGTCAATCCATCTCATTGAGGGTCTTCCTCTTTAGTTTTGAGGGACATCCCAATTAACTGGCCTAATATTGTTTCTCAGTACTTCTGTTCTACTTCCTAGTTGGTAAGGTAGTGCCTGAGGTCTTGAAATCTAGCAAGTGGGCATCCAAGGTGCAGCACTAGGTCTCCATTCACTTGGAGCAATAGAGGAACAAGGATAGTGAGGAACTGGAGGAGGAAATGATTGTGTGTCTGGCTACCTCCATGAACAACTGCCTCCTTTGCCATGAGACCAGAAGAACTGGATGGTGCCCAGCAGCCATTACTGATCATTTTGATCCAAGATTCTATAGGAGAATCCTGATCAAAAGGGGGAAGAATGAGGAACAGAATGTGAGTCTATCCATGGAAGCCAGACTTTCCGGAGCCATTGAGATCATCTTTAAACTTTAAACCTTAAACTAAAACTATCCCTTGAAGTCTTATTTGAGCCAAAAAATAGTTTATTTTAATAAGTATGTCTACCTTGAACATTGCACTTTTTTAAAGAATTATCTATGTGAGATCAAATTGACAACAGCAACTGGAGAGGCTAGATGAGAAGCTTAGGGGACAGCAAAACTAAGTCAATGATGGTAGAACAATTCAGAGAAGGATGGTGAGAATGTTTGCAAAACTTGAAGAATGTAATCAATGTCAATAAGTTGTACATGTAGAAATTGTTGAAATGGTGTAAGACTGTGTATATTTTCACCAAAATAAAAAAATATATTATTGGTCTGATTCTAAATACAACAACTACATAAATAGTAAGAGTTCCCATTCAAAGAGTGAATGGTGGATCTACTAAAATTTATTCTCATATTTTACGTTGGTGGAAATATTATAGGATATCAGCAATGTGTACTTTTTGAGATTCTGAAGTCACACTTTACTAAGCAAATTCACTTTATTTCAGGTAGCTCAAGCTCATTCACATAAATGAGTGATTACGGTGATTTTACAGCAAGTAATAATGTCAAAATACCCCTGGGTAGCACAAATGGTTTATGCACTACTACTAACCTAAAGGTTGGTGGTTTGAACCCACCCAGAGGTACTACAAAAGAAAGGCCTGGCAATCTGCTTCTGTAAAGATTACAGCCAAGAAAACCCTATGGAGTAGTTCTACTCTGTAGTAAATGGGGTCGCTGTGAGTCAAAATTGACTTGACAACAACAACTAATAATGGTGAGAAGGATAAAGGATAAAGAAAGAGAATTTCAGGCCTTAGAAATGCAGGGGCTTCCCTCCCCTATCTTCTAACTCATTTCTATTCCCTAAATCCAGGACACCCAGAAGATAAGTTCCACCAAAGAAGATGTGGAACCCTTCCTCTGCATCCTTCTTCCAGCCACCACACTGCTCTTCCTGGCCTTCCTGCTGCTTTTCCTTTACCGCCGCTGCAAGTCCCCACAGCCCCAGGGGCAAGTTTTCAGCAATGACTTCCCAGAGCACCCACCTGCAGGAGAAGTGATTGACTTCCTGCCAGGCTTACCCTGGAGCAGCGAGCTGAACTTCCCATACTCTCTTCTGCCCCCGGAGGCGGCCCTCCTCTCTGTGGGTTCACCGCCCTCCTATGAAGAGGCCACCAGGAAAGCCCCAGGGGAAGAGGCCCTGGACACAGTGCTTCAGTACGACGATGGCTCACCTGGACTGGAGGAACACAAATAAACTACTCTTAGAAACCATTTAAAACACAGGTCTGAGTCCTCAATAGAGCCACGTGAGAAGGGGGAGAAGGGCATCTACACCCCAAAGCCACTATTTATTGGTCAACTTCTGGATGGACAGGACGCTTTAGGTGGGGACAAACTTGATAAATGTCAATTTCTTTAACCCATTTCAAATTCTTTAGGGAAAAGTTTCCCCACATTTTTCTAAAAATGACTGGGCTCTTCTAAAATGCATCATACCCCTGAGAAAAATTGGAAAATTCTATGTGCTCTGAGAAAAAAGTTAGAATTACTAGTGAGCATAGAAACTAGCTCTGAAGAGAAAGAAAAAAGAAAATGCTGGACAAGCCAAAGGTAATTTCTTCTGCCACAAATAAAACTGTTCTTCCTAAACCACTTTTTCTGGACCTCATGGTTTCACTTCTATGTGAGGGCTTCAAGATACATAGAATGTTCTAGAAGGAGGAAAAGATCACCTCTAGAGCTGCAGTGGTCAATTGCTGTGTTACAAATAATAGTGAATTATGTTTCAATATTAATAATCAAAGTACAGACATCTACATTTTACTTAAAAAAAAAAAAAAAGCATCTCCAAAGTTATCTCCTTTGTAATGTTGCTCTTCTGATTTGCTTCCTTGAATGGGAAAGGGATTTGGCTTAGTTAGGTGAGAATACCTTGCACTAGAATGTCATGGGTCACATGTGCTGTAGCAGAAGACAGAGTTGTGGCTATAACTCATTATCTTGGGTGACGCTATGACTGAATTTGTGGCCTTTACCAAGCAACAGTAGCAGAGCAGAAATCAGCGCAACATTGGAAAATAGAGGTGAAGACGTTGGATCACATGGTAAAGAGAATCATAGATTAGCTCCAACAGGGACCTTGAAAACAACATAGTTCAAACTCTTGCTTTACAGACATGGAAACTAGAGCTCAGACAGGCTGAGTGACTTGCCCAATGTCACACACCTCATAAAAGACAGAACTGGGACCGGAAGCCTAGCTTCCCTATCCTGGGCTGGAGTGCTTCCACTGCAAGAGATGTTCTCCCAAGGAAATTGCAAATGTGGAATTTCAGCCCAAGCTCCTGATGGGGGTCAAGGATTTCAGCAGAAATGAGTATGCTTCTGAGTTTGGAATTGATACAAATCTCTGTCAGTGATTTTCAAGTGAGGAGGTAGAGCTGGGTCATGTACCACTTCAGGAAAAAAGTCTAGTTGCCATTGGGTCAATTCCAACTCATGGTGACCCTAGGTGTATCAGAGTAGAACTGAGCTCCATAGGATTTTCAGGGCTGTGACCTTTTGGAAGTAGACTGCCAGGCCTTTCTTCCAAGGCATCTCTGGGTGGACTCAAACCTCCAATCTTTCAGTTAGTAGCACAGTGCATTTAACTGTTTGTACCACCCAGGGACTCCACATCAGAATATTCACGGAGGTGGCAGGGAGAAGAGGCAGGGGGATGACATGTATAGTTTTTAAATTCTTATTCAATGCTATAATTTATTATTTGTAAAACAATTTTTATTGTTTTCACAATACAAAATGCAAAACCAGACAATCATCTTATGGTTCAAAATGAATAAAAATAGTGTTTTTTTTTCTTTTTTCTTTTGACATGACCATTTCTATGCTAGATACACAGTATGATACAGTTTTAAGAAAATAACGAGTGAAAATAGGATACATTTCTTTTTTCAATGTAATCTGATAGAAATAATAGTACCTTTGAGGACTTAAGCAAAATATAACCTATTTTGGTGAAAATCAATAAGATTTCTTTCAGGAAAACTGTACTGAACAAATCCTTACTGTTCTTTAAGGGAAGTACACAAAAGGAAAACAAGAAGGTCAGCAGACAGCCTTCTTCAGATTTTTTTTTTAATCCCAAGAAACTAGTTCTGTGTGAGACTGTTAATTTTTTCCCAGCTGCTATTCCTTCTTCTTTCTTGCTAACAGAACCCTGATTTGGTTCCGATATCCTGAGGTCACCTGCTTAAAGCAAGCTTTGTCCCTGACAATGGCAGGGGAACATCATGATTGTTCATGATGGTAATCTAGATTCCTTCACTGGGACCGACACGGTCTTTGGGACTGAAGGGGAGATCTACAGGGGAAGAGGTGTTTGTTTTAGAAAAGGATGTCTTGGTATTAAAAATAAACACGTGGAAGCAAATACCCTGCCTCTTTGTTGGATGTTACGCACCTGCACGTGATGCCTGGGGCTGCTACAACCATCTTGCAACCATGAGGTGAGGCAACAGCCATCTCTGATATTGAGGATGGTAGAGTAGAAAGATAGAAAACACTTGGGTTGATGACATTGTAGAGTAGCTAAATTAACCCTGCAACTGTTTATATATATATATTTTTAAATGACTTTTTTTTTTTTATTGTACTTCAGGTGAAGGTTTACAGAACAAATAGTTTCTCATGAAACAGTAGTACACACATTGTTTTATGACATTGGTTAACAACCCCACAACATGCCAACCCTCTAACTTCTCAACCTTTTTTTTTTGGTGAAAATACACATAGCCAAAGATACTCCATTTCAAAAATTTCTACATGCACAGTTCAGTGACATTGACTATGCTCTTCCAATTGTGCTGTTATTCTCACTTAAGATAAAGGCTTGCAACTGTTTATATTTTAATGAGAGCATACATTACCTACTGTTTTAAGCCACTGAAGCCGGGTTTGTTACTTGTAGACAAAAACATCCCAATTGCTACAATTTCTAAGGTTATTAAGGAGGAACATTGCCATGTTAAAAAATGTTCTAGTAAGACTTACTTGAAATGAGATATGGCTCATTTAAAATTTTACCACTGATCTGTGGAAGGAAACATTTTCTTTGATGGAACCAAACTGAAGCAATGAAACAGATAAACTATAAATCAGGAGTCGCCAAACTGCACCCCACAGGCCAAATCCAACCTGTTTTTATACAGCCTGTGAGTGAAGAATGGTTTTTACATTTTTTAATGGTTGAAACAACATAAAAAGAAGAATATTCCATGACACATGAAAATTATATGGATTTAAACTTTGGTGTCCAGAAATAAAATTTTATTGGAACAGAGACTATATGACCTCCAAAGCCTAAAATATTTACTACCCAGTTCTTTATAGAAAAATTCTGTTGATCCTTGCTATAGACTAGTGGATTTCAACCCCGATTGCATAACAGAATCACTTGGGGAACATTCAGAATTACAGATACCAGGCTCCACCCACACCAATTAAACAGAAAATGGGCCAGTGATTCTACTATGTGGCCAAGGTTGGAAGTTCCACTCTAGGTAATGTGAGTGCGTTACAAAATACAGGTGAGCTTAATGTGGACAGGTATAAGGTGACAGACATACAGAATGCTAGGTCTGTAAATACGACTTTGAGCCATCATTTTTAACTCAACCTTCTCTGAAAACTCCTTCCTGGAGCCATCAGACTAATGCGCAGCTGTAGCCGATTCAGCTCGCAAAGCAGGCTTCCCAGGCAGAACATTAGGAATAACAGTGTAGACAGCACGTCCCTGTCTAAATGTTGACACAACTGGCAAACGTGAGTAGTGCTGGTTGTTAGCACTCCAAGAAAGACATAGTGGGGTTGAAGAAAACCCACAAATGAAAGAATTAAATTGTTAACACCTAAGAAGTATTTTGCAAAAAAATAAATGACTCTAGCCAGAAAATATTAAGACTGAAAGAAGATACAATGGAGACAGTGAATAGGATGTGGACATTTTCACTAAAATCTACACTGGACCATAAAATACCCTTAAGGTATCATTTTATAAAAAGGAAAATGAAGTAATGGGTTATGCAAGAAGCACTTATTTTCAAAACATTCTTATAGTAAGAAGTGATTTATTCAAGGTATATGTATTCATTAATGTTTACTATATAAATAAACTTCCTTAAGCGTAAGTACAAGTCAGGTATTCAGAGAGTCAACCCTGAAGTGTGGAAAGGCAGGATGAATATGAGACCCTAACTCAGATTCCAGTTGGACAGGTGACTGGGAAGGTCTTCTAAATCAGTTAGAGAAATTGAGTGTTTAGAAATGTTTACAGCAATTTAACATTTTTACAAAATCCATGCAGATGACCAGTAGACTTGTCTCACTGAACATGGTATTGACCAATTCAAAGACCATAGAACTTGTGGGATACATAGCACACAACATGAGCTGCACATAGTCATGTGCAGTAGGATCTTTTTTTTTTTTTTAAGGTCCTTCATCACAGATAGTTTAAGGAGCTCTGATGTAGAAGATGAGCTGCCTCAGGCATTGCTGCTGTCTTGCCTCCATCTTGAAGTCTATTCGTATCTGCCAATGACCTCTCCCACCCCTGGATCTCATTCTGAACATGCAGACCCAAACCCAGGTACAGATCCATAAACAGGCTAAGAACTGACTAGTTCACAGATACATTTAAGACTGGGGTCAGTGGCTCTTGTAGGAAGTGAGAACATTGAAACACTGTAACACCTCTGTCAAAAAAGTAACATCTCTGTTTTAAAAAAGTTATTAGGAGCCAAATCCAATTTCTACCGATTCTTTCATTTGTCCTAATCAAGAAATAACGTAATAATTCCAAGGCAACAGTGAAAGCTCCATACCTAAGAGTTTAAGGGACTATCTTGGTTGTCCCAAAGTTTTTAGGAAACAATCCTTAATCAAGTCATTTATTGGAAAACATTTCCTTTTAGCTGAATCAAGAATTGTTTCTTTTAAGTACTTTTGAGAACAACCATCTGGTTGTTGTGTATTTGGTGGTCTACTTTAACTTCAAAGCAAGAACCTTTTCAAATCAGTGTGGCTGTCCCCCTCCTTTGACATAAACACTCAACGGCAGTGAGTTTTAATGGGTTTTCAACAAATAGTGCTGGACCAACTGGACATCCACATGCCAAAAAATTAATCTAGACACAGAGCTTACATCTTTCACAAAAATTAACTCAAAATGTATCATAGACCTAAACGAAGTTG